TTTTTTTTGACAAGTCGTGCATGACCTGGGAACCGAATAGAAAAATGGGCTATTGGCTTCAACATAACAATCTGTAGGCAACAGCACAGATTACACGGAGATAGTAAGTGAAATTTCGGAACAACCCACCGATGAAAACACCGAGTTCGTAAGTAGCACAGAAGGGTTTGTAGATATGCCAAGCGCAGAAATACGCGACTTTAGTAATACTGAGGTTATATTTAGAATGAATGCTGAGATTGGCGGAGCCATTACCAGGTCGCTCAAGGGGCATGTTGTTTCGTGCGGCCTCGATCTTTGTTGTTGTTGTTGTTGTTGTACAAGATGAAGAGGTAAAAAGGCCTCGAAAATTCCTTTAACTTCGTCTGTTTGCAAACCTTTTTTCATTTTATGACAGGTAGCGGTGATCTGACATTCCGGAAGGTACAAGATTTTAATGAAAACCTTGTTTGCAAACACACAACTTTAAGAGAGCTAGGGAAGCTTTTTTTAGCTCCGCACCTTATACAACAACAGCAAAAAAGATAGAGGCCGCGCGAAATAACATGCGCCTTGAGTGACCTGGTACTAGCGCGGCCCGCCAGTCCCATTAGCAAAGTCGCGTGTTGACGACATTTTCAGTAATGTGAGCTGAAACGAAACGCACCAATAAAAAAACGAAGTGGAATGTCCGAGTTTTTGAGGTTTTTCACACTTTAAAATGGTAATAAAACGCAAACTGAGGTAACACTTGTTTAGTATAAATAGTTTCGAGTTCAAAAACAATAAAAACCAGAAAATGAATGACAAAAAATATATACAAACCAGCATAACTGACAAATATTCGTACAAATTATGGAGTCAGAGCGACTGCGGTCGCGCTCTGATCCGACGCAAGCAAGTTCAATAGCGGCTTATTAGTGCGATCTCCGGTCATCACAGTGAAGAAAGCCTTAGAAATTACGTCTGCCCGTCTAATAAAGAGTTTAGAGCTTGCTCTCCGACTCATTGAGTTAAAAACCACAGTATTCTTCAGTCTGTTCTCACGTTAAAAACTTGCAGGTTTAATCGTTCATCCCGTAGTTATAGTGATAAAATTCGAAGATAAGTGTTGAATAAGGCTTATTTCAGTTTGTGAGCTTTGATGGTTTGTAAACTTTCATGGTTTGACATGATAGCTTCAGAGTTATTCAACCAATCAAATTATTTGAAATGTTCTAACAGGGAATCTGATTGGCTAGTTGTACCGTGCTTTATGAGAGAACAGATGCACGCTCGCTTCCCCCTGTTTCTTTGAAATTGTTTTTCTTTTTATTAACAAAAAGAAACCTTGACTGTACTTTGTTCTGTTCTAAAGTACATAGGAAGCGGTTACAACACTCAAGAAAGAGGAAGAAATACTCGACTACATCTCGTCTTTCTCTTATACTTCTCAGTTCCGTGCGTTAGCCGCTTCCTGCATGCTTTACAAATGAACAGAGCACAGTTCAGTTTTGTTAACTTGTTAAGATATCATTCCCTGTCGGGGGGAGTTACTTTGAATTCCCTCAATTTGTTAGATGTTGTTTGTCAAAGGTAACCTTTTATCTTTTTGTTAAAGGTTATTCATCGAGATCTTGCAGCTCGTAATGTGTTAGTTGGAGAAGGTC